TGAGCATAAAATTTAGATAAAATAAACTTATATATAAACATTCACATTTATGTAAGCACTGCTAATCCCAAGAGGGGAATCCAATCCCTATTTGCATCCAAAAACCACCAGTGAACATGAAAATAAATTTATAGTTCATGCAGCTGGTATTCCAACATTCTATTCCTGAAGCAATTCAACGTCTCGGCATTTCTAAGTTTATCTGGGAGAGAACACCAGAGTTTAGGACCTTGATAAAGTATGGTGAACTGTTTTTGTTAGTTCTACAAACATGTGATCGATATAGACTAGCGTTTCTTGTATTGTATTGATGAATTCGATTACTAGTAATAAATCCAACCAGCTTATAAGTTTATAAATGATCTCAGTGACATGCGCAGACTGGTCACTGGTGTTATTATTCTCAATTCACTTGCTAAAATTGGATTACCTTTTTTGATACGTCCTGTACATATGTAGTTCACATTAGAACTTTTACCATCCATCCCCTTTGTTTATCATCATCTCATATATTTCTATGTGCAATAGAAAATATATGATTGCAGTTTCTTAAACGTTTATGTAAACTGCATGTGTAGTTATTAATACAGAATTTATTTGTGTATCACAGAGCCAGAAGTTCACGATGATCCAGATACTCATAATGAGCCAGAAGACATCGCAGATGACGATGAGCTATGGGATACCCCTTTATTAGAATATGTGGTATTTGCAGGTAATCCTTCACAGTCTCTCAAAAGGTTTACTCGTGCTGCTGTTAACACGTTTGGAGAAGAGATGGATGTCGTTATAAACCGAAACAAGGACATGTTACAACAGGTTGTGAGAAAGTATAAACACCCAGAATTTGATATCACAAAGCCCCTGAATGTGTCGTTTGTTAATGAGCCTGGTGTAGATGCTGGGGGGTTGACAAGAGAATATTTTCACATTCTAATGGATCGGTTGCAGAAGCAACTCGGTTCTCTTGATTTGTTCGAAGGTCGAAAGGGACATTTACTTCCAATGCACAACTATGATTTAGTCTCGGGTGGCCTATTTGTTATGGTCGGAAAGATGGTCTGACACTCAATTTTGAATAACTGCACCGGAGTACCAGGGTTATCTCCTGGAGTCATTGCCTACGTTGCAAGTGGTAATCGCGATGCAGCAGTAGAACACCTCACTTTAGAAGATGTTCCAGATCCAGTTTTGCAGGATAAATTGCGCCAGGTAATTTTGAACACGGACTTAGTATCACGTGTTAGATTTGTTTCAAAATCCATATCTCAGTGAGACAAAAATAGCGGCACACGCAAGCGGTGAAAAAAGCGCGAAACTGAGGGAGGTAAATGGAAGAGAAAGACTTGGATACTTCGCGTGCGTCAAAATATACAGTCGGATTTTTCCCTAAGGGTGTGGCTTGTAAGCTAACAATAGCTGATATTTATTAGTTACAACTTTTGCGCCAAATTATTACGTGCGCCGCTATTTCCGAATCCTTAGAGACGTGCTCGAAGTAAATCTAAGTGTGTGTATGGTTATAATTAGATACACTTTCCGAATACCCACATTTTCTTCCAACATGAAGGCTCGAGTACGATGTTGCTACTCTTTAAACACGGAATAAGTGTACTACTGTACAAGTACTTGATTGACCGATTATTTTATATTCCTGTAGCCGTCAGAACGATTTTTATGGTCAATTGGCGTCATAATGTCAGTCAACTGATTAAAAGTGACGTCATTTAATTTCAATTTTTGATAATTCCAATGTACTGCACTCTCCCGCCGTATTTCGTTAATTGTTTTCGCGGCAATATTTTGTGTTAAAAATCGTTGGGTAGCAAATGCACAATTCGTATCAATTTTTTAAAAATATTTTTCTAACAATCGGTTAATAATTAACACAATCAGGAAAGCTGACAATTTCACCGATTCCGATTGTGTATCGATAGGGCTAAAATCGGTCCGATTCCGATTGGGCCATTCCACTTGAAATACGCAAACCCCCTATCGAGGACAAGGGTTTTACCATATCCCTGAAGAATTCCTGACATGAAAGAGATTCCCTGAAGAATTCCTGTTAATAGCATTTACCCCTGAAGAATTTCAATTTTTACATCTGACCCCTGAGGAAATCTCATTCAAAATAACCAACCCCTGAAGAATTCCACAGGAGAATCTGTTTACCCATGCGGAATTCCAGGGTTAAAAATTACCTTACCCCTGAAGAATTCCTCGATAGGGGGGTTACGGGATATTAAATGGAATATAGCCCATTATCGGTCAATCACTAAAAAACTAAATACATGAAACAACCTACAGTATTCAATAATTTGTCTCATTAATTAAGTAGTATTTTCGTTTTAAGCAAACAGATAGTCTGGTTATTTGGTAGTCTCCCATTGACGAGCTGCGTCTCACGTTCTATACAGGGACACATTTTGGGCGCCTTGTAAGTGTCTTTAAAATATTTTATTTCTTAACAGCTTGTTAATTGTGATTAGGACAAACTTCCCGAATTCACCAGTTCTGACAGCCCAGTCGACATTAGTGACTGTCTAATGTCTGCTGGGTACCCGCATATCAGTATCACAAAAGATCGAAGGAATCTTGCATATGAATGCTGTCTAACATATGAAGTGTTAACGAAACGATTGGCATCATTAGATGACATACGGAAAGGCTTATCAACTGTTTGTGTGGCTGGGCAAACGTTACTGGATCTATTGGAAAAATGGCCTGGATTGAAACAGAGGGTGTTTCCAGCGCCAGAGCTCGATGTTATTGATGCAGCAACTCTGCGCTCGTGTTTATTTTACAAAAGAGATGATTCGGCAAATGAAGAGAGTCGAGATTTTTTTGAGAAATATATTGATGAATTAAGTGCGAGACAAGGTGCATTATATGGATTATTGCCTATTTTGTATTGACAATATTATAATTATCATGTGAAAATAATTTCGTTCATACACCCAGAAATGGACCATTTGCATTATAGACTAAATTTTGATCTAGACAAAAATTTCATCACAGCTTGAAAGAGCATCACAAAATTAGTAATATTCCAAAGTTTCGTTGCGAAATGTTGTAAAATAGCCCCGTTTAGCAGCTCAATATGAAAACCACGCATTGCTTAGAAAACATATCACTGTACTACCCACAATTCACACAAAGATAGGCAACCTTACCACTTTTTGGTTCTTGGACTACCTAAATAGGTAGTCCAAGAACCAAAAAAGTGGTACGGGTACCAATTTTATCCGTGCCGTACCAAAAATTGAGCGTAGTGTAAACGGGGCTTTAGTTCCACAAGCGAAACTTTCAGTTATACAGTACATAGCCATACGGCATATAGCCATAGGCGATTTTTCAGTTTTGACAGCAAAATAATTGTTTTGCCGCGTTTAATGGTTGTAAAACTTTTAAAATGGATAAAAATTTAGTACTTTCGATCCTCGACTTTTGATCCTCGACCAGACCCTCGACCTATGACTTTCGACCCTCGACCATCGACCTATGACCCTCGACCATTACCCAAACTCCTGCCAGTGTCATAAATGTTATGGTAAATTACTTAATGTGTTACAGTTATTAGATAGAACAAATCTATATTTACCCAGTTTCTCCCCTTAAAGCAAATATCCTGGCAAACGCTGGTCGTTTGAACACCTGCTCAATATGAAAACCACGCATTGCTTAAAAAACATATCACTGTACTACCCACGATTCACACAAAGATAGGCAACCTTGTGGCCTTACTCTGCACGACCTTAGTTTGAACTCTTATAATTGTCAATGTCAGTGTAAAAATATGTTTT